ACTACTATGAGGACTACTACTACTACTACTATGAGGACTACTACTACTACGACGACTACTACTACTATTACAACGACGACGACGACGACGACTACTTCTACTACTACGACTACTACTACTATGACGACGACGACGAGGACGACGACTACTACTACTACTACTACGGCTACTACTACTACTACGACGACGACTACTACTACTACTGCTACTACTACTACTACTGTTACTACTATTATACTATTACTATTACTATTACTTCTACTACTACGACTGCTACTACTACTACTACTACTACTACTACTACTACTACTACTACGACGCCTACTACTACTACTACTACTACTACTACCACTACCACTACCACTACCACTACCACTACCACTACCACTACCACTACCACTACCACTACCACTACTACTACCACTACTACTACTACTACTACTACTACTACTACGCCCAGGCCCGTTAAACTTTACATTCAATTGGGAAGATCAACAAGGGTATTAGGGAATATTAAACTCCCACCCCCGTTAAACTTTACATTGAATTGGGAAGATCAACAAGGGTGGGTTGGACGGGCCTCCAGGGAGTCGACTGAGCTAGTTGTTGACGCTGTGGAGGCGCTTCCGCCACGTCTACATAAAGTATCGTTTTTTGTTCTGTACAATGATGAATACGTGGACCCGGTGGAGGGGCCTCCAAAGGGTCAACCAAGTGAGGGGTTGACTCTGTGGAGGCTCTCCCACCGGGTCCACAGAAACTATTGTTTTTGGTTAGTTGTTGACTTTGTGATTTCTAGCAAGTTTACATAAAGTCCAACCGGGTCCACAGAAACTAATGTTTTTGGTTAGCTGTTGACCTTGTGATTTCTACTAAGTATACATAAAATATCGTTTTTTGTTCTGTAGAATTACGTTCCGAACTCCGAATAGGTGGGCCCGGTGGAGGGGCCTCCAGAGGGTCAACCAAGTGAGGGGTTGACTCTGCGGAGGCTCTCCCACCGGGTCCACAGAAACTATTGTTTTTGGTTAGTTGTTGACTTTGTGATTTCTAGCAAGTTTACATAAAGTCCAACCGGGTCCACAGAAACTAATGTTTTTGGTTAGCTGTTGACCTTGTGATTTCTACTAAGTATACATAAAGTATCCTTTTTTGTTCTGTACAAGTACGTTCCGAACTCCGAATACGTGGACCCGGTGGAGGGGCCTCCAGAGGGTCAACCAAGTTAGGGGTTGACTCTGTGGAGGTTCTCCCACTAACAAGGGTATTAGGGAATATTAAACTCCCACCCCGGTTAAACTTTACATTGAATTGGGAAGATCAACGAGCGTATTAGGGAATATTAAATTCCCACCCCCATTAAACTTTGCATTCAATTGGGAAGATCAACAAATGTATTAGGGTATATTAAACTCCCACCCCCGTTTAACTTTACATTCAATTGGGAAGATCAACAAGGGTATTAGGGAATATTAAACTCCCACCCCCATTAAACTTTGCATTCAATTGGGAAGATCAACAAATGTATTAGGGTATGTTAAACTCCCACCCCCGTTAAACTTTACATTCAATTGGGAAGATCAACAAGGGTATTAGGGAATATTAAACTCCCACCCCCATTAAACTTTGCATTCAATTGGGAAGATCAACAAGGGTATTAGGGAATAGTAAACTCCCACCCCCGTTAAACTTTACAGTCAATTGGGATGTTGATGATGTTGATGATGTTGATGTTGTTGCTGATGATGCTGATGATGATGATGATGATGTTGATGAAATGAGGGAAAAATTCGTCATCCGTTTGCACAAACGAACGACACGGGGAATCTCACAAAACATTGGCCCTGCGCAGTCAAAACGCACTTTCCCGGGCAGCACATCCGTCCTGGCCGTAGTACTACTACTACTACTACTACTACTACTACTACTACTACTACTTTTACCACTACTACTACTACTACTTTTACTACTACTACTACTACGACGACGACGACGACGACGACGACTACGACTACGACTACTACTACTATCATTCGTATGGCACCTATCTCACTAGAATTTACCAAAGAACAGAAAACATCATTTTTTCGGGGTTGCGCTTTATCTCGCCTCGATGAAGCACAACCAAGTGCTTGGGAGCACAACCAAAGTCATTTATCGCACAAACATGAGCTTGGTTGCGCCCCCAAACGCTGGGTTGCGCTTCATCTCGCCTCGATGAAGCACAACCTTGGAAAATGATATTTTTTTATCTTCTTTGGTAAATTTATGTCATCCAGACCGTAGCATATTCTAACTTCGCGAAAAACGCGAAAAAAGTATCAACGTCGGAAAAGCGAAAAAGCAAAGCAGCAAAAGCTAAAAAACACAAAAGCAGAATAAAAGGAGAAAAAAGAAAGGAAAAACACGGAGAAGCTCAAAGGGAAAAATGAAACAAGAGTTACATTTTTTGTTTTTTCACGCTTTCTTTCAAGTTTTTCGACAGGCAAAATAATCTATG